TACCAACCGTCGCGCTTTTGTCACATCTGAAACCGTTTCGTGTATCAAGAAGATTTGGGGGATGATTCTTCTCTTTCCTCTACCCACAGTATGAAAGGAACACTTCTGCTTCATTCGATACTTACAGCACTCAAAAATTAAATGAGCAAAATTAGGCGATTTATACTCTACTGTTCATCATCTTCAATATTCAACAATGGCGGACTCTTCCTCTGTTCAGGAAACCTCTTCCCGCACCAACATCCTTCCCATCCGCGCTCAACAAAGTCTGGTGATTGATTTAAACCCTAAAGCTTACGAGAATTATATGTATCCCATGGTGGAGTGTCTGAAATACTCTCCAGTGGTACTAGCCCTTTCCAAGGTCGAGATTGTGCCCATGGTATGTCTTTCCCAGGTCTTCTCCACTGCTCATTATGATAGATCAGTGGATCGAATCTACTTCGACCTTCTTTCTCACAAGACCTCCATCTCCAAGCAACGATTCTGCTGGCTCCTAGGTTTTGAAGCCGATGAATCTAGGGTTAATCCCAATTCCATCACAGTGGGACAGTTATTTTCGATGTTCTACAACATGGGCTACACGGAAATTCTCACGGCGGTCACTAAGTTCAAGAAGTCGTGTCTTCCTCCTCCATGGAATGGCTTCTTCATCATTCTGTTCAAAGGGCTCTCTGAGCGCAGTTCTGGTTCTGATGGGGCCAGCAAGTTGTTCATGACCATTCTCTATGGTCTATACCATGGCATTAACCTCGACTACGGCTCGATTCACTGGAAACAACTCATTTAGAGCCTAGCCTCCTACTCTCACCACACTGAAGTGTCCTATGCTAGATTTTGGACGCTGATCACCAAGTGGGCCATGGATAAACTTCATGTTCCAACTCCTGTAGATTCCCTCCTCTCCTCCATCAGTGTCTTCCACACCACCAAGATCATCGTTACTGATCTGACCAAGTTCTCCTTCATCGGATCCATTTCGGATTCTATGTCCGCTGGTGTGTCCAAGGACAACGTTATAATGAAGGCCTATAAGGACTTTCATCCTTCGGGTCCACGGGAACTTTCTGCGGAAATGGTTCAGTTGATTAATGACGCGGATAAACCAGCTGCTAGAGGGAAGAAACCCGAGAAAGGGAAGATCAAGAAAACAGCAAAGGGGGCAAAGGGTCCTTCTCCTAAGAAGCGAAAACCCTCAAAGTCAAATCTTCCCCCCCCCCCCAGCGAAGAAGAAAAAAGCACAGCCGAAGAGAAAACTTATTCTCTCTTCTTCATCCGGCGATTCAGAAGATAACCACTCTGACTCAGACGAGTCGGCTAGAGGCGAAACTCCTCCACACTCGCCTGCTCATGAGGTATCTGTTTCATCAAAACCTCCTTCCCCTTATCCTATCTCCACCTCCTCCATTCCCACCATAATTGTTGGATTAATGTCTAAGTCCATAACTTTATTTGGTATGTACTTGACCCGACCCGGCATGGTCCATTTGGGTTGCACTTCACCGACACAATTTATATGGATAATCTTTTGAGAATAGTATATTTATGATTGATATTAATATACTATAAGTTCTAATATATTAATATGGAATCATATTATTTAATTAGTATTGATCAAGAATTAATTTAGAGTTAATTAAGTGATCAAAAGGAACTAATTAAATATGGAGTCTTATATATATGGAATGGGCCAAGTTCATTTAGGTTGGGCTAAGTTTTCATGGATAGTCCATGGAGTGTTTAACCCATGGATCCTAAGAAATGAAAGGTCATGGGTATTAGGCTTTAACCCTAATCCTCCACACTATATAAAGATGTCCTTGGTTGGTGAACTTGGAACTAGTGCTGTACACTAAGAAGGGCTAGCCAATTTAACTAGAGAGAACCAAGTATCCATATTCTCTAAAGTCTTCCAAGGTGTTTTGGTTATTTGTGATTCCACTTGAGGCTTCCACACTATTCGGGCTAAGCTCTTAAAGCTTGAAGACATCAAGCTACATCAAAAGGTATGTCATCTAACTAGTACTTTCTAGTACAAATGCTTCATAATATGCTAGTTAGGACTAAAGCCTTGGAAAGTTCTTATTTGCATGTATTATAGAGAAAACATAGATCCAAGGTTTATAGGGTTTCATGTACCCCATAGGAGTGTTAGAATGCTCATAACCCAACAGTGGTATCAGAGCCTAGGCTTGTTTTCTTGTTATACTTGCAAAACTGCTTAAAAAATCGAAATTGTTGCTGACTGATCATCAGAATCGGCGAGTCCATCAAGGGACTCGGCGAGTCCATGCCTAAAAAATGATCAAAATGATCCAACTCGCCGAGTCGGTTCATGCACTCGACGAGTTGGACCCCCAGATAGCATATTTTCGAGGTTTTTGGCTAGAAATGGACTAGGAACATTACCCTAAGTTGTTTTTGAACTTATAAACTTGTTTTTGATGTGGTAATGTTCATGCTAATCCAATTTCAAAGATAATTGTCAATAGATTCATGTTTTGTATGAGTTTAAAGGTTAGACTAATTACATGAAAAAGTTTGATTTGAATTATCTTGTTCTTATGAGTTTCTTAGATTAATAGAAAAGTTGAATGAAATAGTTGTTTTCAATCCAAATCTAAGAGTTGATTCTAAAATGTGTTTTTGTAACTTGTCCTCAAGTTATATGAAAAGTCACATTTAAGTTTCATAAAATTCATAAAAGTTGGCAAAGGTTACAAAAATGAAGAGTCTAGTTCAAATTAATTGGAGTTGTGACTCCATAATTTGTACTCAAGTTATGGAGGACCAAGAGTCTCTTCATTAAATAATAAATAAATAAAAAAGTTTAACCTTAATTAATTCCATAAGTTACAAAATAAAGGTAAGTTAATTCTTTTATTAGTTTAAAGTCTTCCATAACTTGTCCTCAAGTTATGGAACTTGAAGAGTTTTTGGATTAAAACTACTTTAAACACATAAGTTATGGAATTAATTAGTTTTGAATAATTTCAAAACTTTCCCTTAAGTTTTGGAATTTGAAAAGTTTTCACTTATGAATACTTTAATTCCAAGTTAGCCCTTAGAATTTTTAAAAGTTAAAATTCAACCCTTATACTTTATAATATTATAAGTTAATAATATATATATATATATATATATATATATATATATATATATATATATATATATATATATATATATATATATATATAAGAGTAAAGTCAGTCTTACCGCTAGTACGCCTCATTCACGAAGCCGGTCTATAAGGTGGGTATAAGGTTGTTGCCTATAAAATGGCAACTTAATGGGTGTCCACTCTCACCCACCGCTTGCTTGACTGGTGGAGGGTCGTTAGCCGAATGGATAAGACAAGGACTTATAAATTCTCATTAAAAGTATGATGAATATTATAAGGTAACTAAATGTTTTATTAATAATTCCCAATCTTAGTTACTTAGGAAAAAATGTGAATAAAGTGCTAATCCATGAAATTACACTTTGCACTTTGTTTAAGTCGGTTAGTGGAGCGTGTGTGGTTAACCGGTACACTAACTCGTATTTAACAAGGTAGGCAAAGGGTAACTTAATGTTTATCATAGTATCAATGGAGCGTGTGTGGTTAACCGGCACATCGATTGAGGGGTAAACACTTAAGGGTACCAAGTAATTTGCATGGTTACTTCACACCTTGTTTTGTGATCCTCGGCATCCCAGTCACAAAACCTGAAGGGCACACTCGAGATTGAAACATGCCATTGAACAGTTCAATGAATCTCAAAAGATCTAGGAGTTTCAAAAACAATTAAAACCTAATAATACATTTCGTTTATCATGGTGGAAATTGGTGAATCGTCATTCACCTACCTTCAAATTGTTTTATAGCTTGGATTACGGCATACCTCTTCTAAGTTATAAAATAGTTTGTTGGGTCCTAGCCTTAATATTTCATATTAGGTGTCATATTAAGGACTTTAAATCAACTATCTTGAATATCTCCCAAAACATGTCTGGTTTAGACATTTATGATTTTCCCAAATCTCTTGAAATAAGCTTTCCTAATGAAGATGATGTCCCATGGATATCATACTTCTTTCTCCTCCTCCAATTATTCTCCCTAACCCACAAGTTCTTGAAAAGTTTAAGGTCACTCAAGCCCTGTTGGCAAGGCAATGTCTATGTGTGATCACATCTTGGAGATGTAGTCACAGATTGACAAGCCGGGAGAGTTGGGTGTCAAAGACTTGATAAAGTTGGTGGTTCAACTACTTTCTAAGTCACATAGTGAGTTCCTTTGGGACATTTATGAAACAGACTATGACAAGACCCTTAATGATCTTATATGTTTGTTAAGATCAACTTCCTCAAAAACTTGATGGACATTAACAATAGTGACACAGGAAATCCAGAAAAGCATTCTCTTCCCAATGGAAAGGGATCGGCCATAGTCAACTCACTACTAGAAAAAAGGCCTTTTACGACGCTCATTGTGCGTCGTAAAATGCTCAGACGACGCGCAAATGCGTGTCAAGGAAGGCCCTGTCATAAAGAGAGACGACGCGCATTTACGACGCGCATTTATGACGCGCATTTACGACACGTGGTTACGACACGCATTGCGTATCAAAGAAGGCCCTGTCATAAAGGAAGATGACACGCATTCGCGTTTCGTAACCTTACGACGCGCACGTTAATGACACGCAATGCGTATCAAGAAAGCCCCTGTCAAGAAAGGCCATGTCATAAATGAAGATGACACACATTTTTGCGTATCGTAAATTTAAATATTTTAAAAAAAATATTATTTATAGATTTACTTATTTTCAAATTAAATTTGTATTTAATGTTTTATAATTGAAAATAAAATATCATATACAAAAAAATAGAATCCATTGCATCATGTCAAAAAATTGTAATACATTGGTAATAAGGGAATCTGATTGTATATTGTTATTAAGAGGTTTTCTCTAACTATACAACCTAATACTACATTGCCGTTAAGGAACACCTTCTTGTTTCTACTTATTGTTATGCTTTTTTGTCCACGTGATACCTGTTTTCATCATAACACATTAGTACTCAGAATGCCTTCAAGCAACATCAATCTATGTTATAAAATATTAAAATTTAATACAAATATAGTAAAATACCTTTTTCCAATAATCCAGGGTTGAATACAACCCATACCTGTATAAAATATTAAAATTTAATACACATGTTGATTACAAAAATTAATATGAAAGAGTGAAATAGTAAAATACCTTTTGCCAATTGTCATTGCAGCAATTCAATACGACCCATACCTGTATAAAGAAGCATGGTGACAAGGGAAAATCAGTGCAAAAGGGTATGATGGGTTTTGTTCGTCTTCAATTGGGAATTCCTTGTTTTGGTAGTTTTTATAAAAATTTTGCATAAAAATAAAATCTTTTCCATTTCTTGGTGAATGCAATTCAATTCTACATAAAAATAAAATCTTTTCAAGTCTGCTGAGATCTAGTTATTTACAACCAATCCTACGGCTCAATGTATGAAAAATAACAAGTATAACAAACTCTTATTAGTATTAAAAATTTATATAAAAAGGAATAAATCTGTTTTCTTTTTGCCGTTTAAAAGGATTAAAAAATTGTTGTTGATCCTTATCATACCAAAAGTCCAAAACTTAGTCAGTCTGCTTTTGTTTTGCGGATAAATAACTAATTTTCTGCACCAAATCTTATTAAAATGCACCTGCTCAGACCACTAGATAGTCCCTCCTCATCTTGTTTCTTGGAAGCTTTTTTCCAGTCATTGCAAGATAATCTTCTTCAATCTCTTCTCTAGTAAGCCTGATCAATAATTTTGGTTTCTCATTTTCTGGATCCTCACTCATCTTGTCCTTAGAAACCGAGTTTTCACCTTCTGAAGGGACCTTAGAAGAGGAACCCTTGGATCCATGGTTACCAACCGGATTAGGCTCCTTTATTTTGGCTGGTTTAGACTTAATATCAACCTCAGTGGATGTGGAGCTGCTGCTGTGCTTCATGAACCGAGGTTGCTCAGCGACATGTGGTGTTCTCATGGGTGCACCCCTTGGGAGTCGTTGGTTTCTCTCCGTACTAGGCCACTTCAATTCATCTGGCCTGTTAAATTAATGTAACTTCTTGTTAAAGCTTCATGTAGGCATTTTGTTATGAAAACATGAAAAGTAGAATCAAGATACAAACAATACAATGGAAAATGTTACAAAATAAAGCTACTATTTCTGTAATTACAGTGCTATGTACAAAACCAATATATAGTTTTCACTTTTCAGTTAAATAAAAATAAAAAATTATTGCAATTAAACACTAGTTTAAAGATATCAATCATATTATCATACCGATTGATATCTGAGTGACTCCAAGTTGAACTTCAATGGAAGATCGGCCAACCCATACAACAGAACCACCCATTTTTAGATCACCATCAACACTAATTGTTTTCTTGAGAACCATTTTGTCAAAAAATGCAGTAACCAGTAATAAGGGCCTTGTCATGCTATACAAAAAGAAAGAAACTTAATTATATTAACAAATTGATGAATGTTGTTAAAACTGTGTGATGGAATGTAAGCGTAAAATGTTCATTTATTTTCATTCAAGCGGTTTATTCGGTCCATAAAAGTGAAAAGAAACAAACCTTACGAGTTATGAGTTATGTATGAAGCACTTTATCAAATTTTGAGGGTGGACCCCGTCTTCAATGAATGGTTTTGCCTCCTTCAAGAACTCACCAGCAAGAAGAACTACTATTGTGGTCCCATCACCAGCAAGAAGAAGAAAGGTTAAGTTCATGTAGGATGTTTCCAGTGGGATGTGAAATTAAATACATGAGCATAGAAACTTGTTTTAGGTTCTACAGTTTTCTTGGTTGGATGGGGGTCTGAGTTCACTTGTATTTTAAGTTAGAGCCAACCACAGTGCATGTTTTAAAGAGAAGGGAGATAGAGACACACACTCTTGTACCGTTTTAATAAGTTATGCTACTAAAACCTAAAGCAGTTGAAAAAAAGGGCAATGCTGAGAAGGAAAAAATAAGTGAGGGCAAATTTGTAAAATGTTAAGTTCTTTCTTCATTAACCCTATATATATATATATATATATATATATATATATATATATATATATATATATATATATATATATATAACCATCAGAATACCAGATCAGATTCAACGCATGCCAAAGTGTCATAAATACAAAAATAAACAGTAAGAGAAAATAATTAACATACACTTACATTGCATTGTCATCTTCTTCAAAGTTCAAATGGATGGTGATGTTCTACCGGATTGTAGCTTTTCTGGGGAGACGTTGGCAGCTGCAAATTAACATCATGTGAAAAAACCCCACCTAGTTTTGGTAAAATTCCGAAAATACCCTTATCCCCCTTGACTTAGGGTAATTTTCCTAGCAAATTTAATGACTTTTCTCTACCGTTTTCCCTTTTATCTTATTAATTTAATTATATAGTCTTAAATTTAGGATGTTATAGTATTGTTGCATTCAGAAAGAGATACTCTCTTCTCAATAATAGCATCTAAAAGATGTTATGATATTTTCAGAACAATTCCAGTATAAGAAGTCATCATGACAGAATCTTTGATGCCAAAATCAGATTTATTGCAGGATAAATGGAAAAGTATCATATTATCCCTAAATTTCTCAAATTATTATCTAATTATTATTCTTGAAATCAGAATAATTACTTAAGAAAAGAAAATCCAAACACCCCTTTTTATATTTTCTCCAAAAGATATAATGAATACCAACTACTTCCTACTTTGAACTTTGAAGTAGTGTTTGCATGTGCCAATGATATGCAAACCATAGTTGTTGTTGTTGTTGTTGTTGGATGTGACTTCAGCATTGAGCTCTGCAATGTATATTTTCCCATCTCTTCCACCAGGGGCATTTTAGGCATGAGAGAGCTTGATGAGATTTTAGCAAATATATTTCAGCAAGTATATTTTAGCAAGTACTTACATTTAACATAGAACAAAGATTTCAAGCAAATATATTTAAAAAAATATTCAAATCATATCCCAACTTCAGATTTCAGCATGAGATTTTAGCAAATATATTTCAGCAAGTATGTTTGTTTCAACAGTTCATTGCAGATGGTGACCACGAAGGAAGATTGATGGGTACGAATTTATCATCACCAAGTAAAAAATACGCAGATAGAAGACATGAATTAGCTCATCTCCAAAACGAAGGATTTATGCTAACGGGTTCAGGTTCAGGTCCAAGTCTTCATCTTGTAGCGGTGGATGCAGGGGCAGTGGTGGTCCAGGTTGAGTTCGTCAGTTCAAAGAGAGAGGATAATCAAATTCCTGTAATTGATGTGAAGGGAACAAATAAAAAAAAATCTTTGTTTTGCCCCTGGATAATAAAAAGGGTTAGATACAATTAGTGGCATAAAGGGAACAAATCAGAAAACATGTAACCTGTAAGATGTGAGCAAGTTACAAGAACTTTCTCTCTGTTTCTAAACCCTGGAGTGGTTATAGAGTCTTGTGTGTTTTCCAGCTAGTCTTTCCAACCAATAAGAGTCCTTTTAGTTCTCTCATGCGCCGTTTTATCCTTATTTGCCACCGAAACCTCTACTTTGGTGTGTTTTCGCAGGAGAAAGTTAGCGGGAAAATGAATGAAAGGGGAGATGACGAAAAAGATCTTGATGTTTGAGAATTTTGGGTGTGCGAAAGAATTTTGGGTGGGAATGAACCCTAAATCTCCAAGGTGGGGTTTTCTACTAATCGAAGTAGGGAGATCGATCACCTTTTTCTGAGTGAAGACCTGGTGGAGGATAGAGATAAGAGAAAACCTGGTGGAGAAGGAGTCCCCTCCCTACATGTAATCTGCTGGCGACAAGGAAGAACAGCCAAGGAGACTGCCGAAGCACCTCCCCCCCCCCCCCCAAGCTGTGGCAGACTAGAGAAGCATCGTTGCTTTTCCCTTCTCCTTTTGTCAAATCGATCCCGCACCAGAGGTGCTTCCCTTTTCTCGATTGATTTCCATCATCGAGCCACCATGGCTGCTTGCGTTCCCATCTTCCTTTCTCGATAGATGAACCACGACCACCGGACCAAAACTCCCGCTACCTTCGTCATTCTAATTCCCCTTTTTCGATTTATCTGTGGGGAATAAGAAACAAACGAGAATCAATATTTGGATTCTAATATTGAGACTTGAGAGTATAATACTTAATTAGGGCTTTTTCTGAAAATTTCAACATCGAGTGGGGAATAAGAAAACTATTGGCGAGTATTCTCAATAACAGCAGAGAGATGAAGAAGGTGAAATTACAGCAACGATGAAGTAGATGAATGGAAATCAGAAGCCTTTTTTCTTGATTGAGATGATGAAGTCGTGAGATGGAGATGAAATCGTAACCTTCGATCTTTGATTGAGAAGTTGCACAACAGTTTGAGGAGAATGAAAGATGCGTGAAAATGCTTAGGGCAGGGAGGGTAGCGGGCTTTTCTAATTTTTTGGCTTTTCTTTTCCCGCTTGTAACTAAGGAACGCGCGTTCATTAAAATTATAAAGCGACACATATAGAGGGCGCGCATTTAAGGTACAACGCCCTCCGTGTTTTTAATTTTTTTTCTTTTGACACTAATTTAAAGGCACACAATAATGCGTGACCTAAATCCTTAAATTTTCTGAAGAGATGACACTTTTTTAATGTCACTCTCGTTTGCGTAACATATATTAATGAGTGTCGTTATTTGCGCGTCGTAAAAGGCTATTTTTCTAGTAGTGACTCGGTTGAACAAATGGTAAATAGAAAAGCTAAGTCTGTGATAGTCCCGTGTACCATTATCAAAGGGTCCATATGTTTATATTGCCAAATAAAGGGTCATTAGTTGCGAAGCTGCCAAATTTACCTAAGGATGTTAAAGTCAATAAGTTTGACTCTACTTCAGGTAAAGTCCACTATCTAACTCTGCTAAGTTTCTATTCTGAGATTCTTATTACATGATGTGACTGGGTCACATGTTGATGTTTTAAGAATCAAAGAAAAGTGAAGGAACTTAAAGAAAGAATATGCTGAATCTGATCGCATAGATGGATTTCTATCGCGTAGTTTGAAGATCAGATTCTTGAGCTACTTCTTAGGAGTTATGAGATATTGGTTAGGAATAGATAACAACAAGTTTTCATATGGATTGTAAGGATAAGTTTTTCCGCATGGTTTTAAAATAAAAGAAAATTTTTGTTTTTAGTTATTTTAAAATATCCTTACAATGGCATTTGAGGAAAAAATTGTTGCTTATATGATTCCATTAATAGCAAGAGTGGAAGTATGAAATTGATTCTTTCATTTGTGGTAATGTCTAAATTTACCAAGTAAGGAAAGATTCTCATCACCCAAGTTTCAGTTGGACCGGAACTTGGAATCATGCAAGTTGTATAACATGATGAATGAGAACTTTCAAGTATTGGAAAAATTAAGACTGATTACTTGTTCACATGGATGTGTGAGTCAAGTAATGGACTAAGGGATCGAGTACATAGTCATGTGCACTGATTAAGTCCACCACAAAAGATATAAGGCTATTCGTCATAGTTTACTAAAGCTCAGTAAATATGATTATACTTACAAGCTTAAGTGTAACTCTGATACATTGGAAAAGGTTCAATTGCATGGCAGAGTGAACAAGAAGAATCAAATTAGGCAGAAGGATAAAAGTTCCTCAAATCTGAAAAGATGGGAGAGTACTTTAGTATCAGTTTTGTGATCATCTTAATGATTAAGAAACCATATCAAAATTAGTTCTCTAAGGAAGTCTTAGTGCATTCTTATTACTAAGAAGAAGGGATCTTGAATTGTTGAAATGGTTAAATCAAGAAGATGAGTCATACTGCGTTCCAATACAAGTCTTAGAGTCATACTCCAAGATTGTAATTTGAGTGACATGTCTTTAATAAGGTTTAAAAACACTTATCAAATGCAAGAGTAAAAGTTTCCTACTCTTGTACATTTGACATTGGTAAGTTGTGATGTTTTGCATAAAACAAAGACCAACTAAGGCCAATTGTGTGAAGTGTTTGTCTTGATTAGAATCTGCACTATCTCCTGGATGTTTGACAATGGAGTCTTATGGGTCCAAAGGACAGTGGGAGGCTTAAAGGTCTTGAAAGTCTCAAGAACTAATCAAGAATAAAACCTGAAGTTCTTCACTAGCACATGACTTAAGGTTTATAGCCTATCGTGTTGACATATTCTATGCCCATTCCAATCAATGTTGGCTTTGCATATGAGTTCTTAGAGTTCTCAATTGGTTGCACAACAACTTGGAAGCAATGGTAGGCCCTTGAGCTGCCAGGTGGCAAGAAATTAAGATTGAGTTCAGTCCATATGAGTTTGGATTTGTCATTATCCTTGTCTTGTGACTATGGTTTTGACAATTCACATGGATAAGAACACATACACCAATAAATCTAAGTGTCATAAGGTTTCTCTCCGATTCATGAAAATGATGGTGAGGAAACACTTTCACTAAGTAGATTTTAGCTAGATAGCAATTGTGATATTTGCATTTTCAAAGTCGTTAGTGGAGCGTGTGTGGTTTACCGGCACACTAACCTGGACTTGTGAGAAGTGGCAAAAAGGTCTAACCATTATGATTACGGTATCCCTCTTCAGAATTCTTTAGACACACAAGTGTACTATCTAAGGGAAGGTGTATGTTTTGTGATAAAGTTTTGTCAAAACAATCCAGTATCAGAAATCTGAACTTTGGTAAGAAAATCAATAAAGTATTGATTTCTAGAAGTCCAGCTGAT